AATGAAGGATGGGTTCAGAAAAGCAACAAGACTTTCATTAGCCTACCCATGGCAGCGTCCCTACGTGGGCCAGGGGTTGTCCCGGGATCACTGAGCCACCTCAGTGGAGCCGGTCCCCGCGGGCCTCCGCGACGACCACCGTCCACTCTTTCAGTGCATCCTAATGTCTCTTGCTGCGGCACACTGTGAATGCCGCTAGTGACTTCCCCTCATTCCCGCATGTTAATTCCCTCCACAGGAAAGGAGATGTCCCCAAACAATGAAACGGCAGAAGAAAATATCACGATCAACCTTTAAAGAATCATTGAACACTAGATTACAGATTCATATTTTAGAGGATTAACTTCTCTCCTCTTAAGCTTGAGCTTTTGCTTTCCTCATCCTTCCTCTCCCCTTCTCCCCATCAGTTTTCCTTTTCTTTCCTTTTGAAGAGTTTCTTCCCCATTTATAATATCTATTATACAATTTGGATCGTATTTACTTTTAGCTTCTCACAGTGCAAAAATAATACTCTTCATACATGTGGGTCTGAATTGTTTCACTTGTGAGTACAGTCTCAAGTTCTACCCATTTACTTATAAAAGTCTGATGTGTACCAACATTTATGGTTGAGTAGTATTACATTATAGTAGAAAAAAATACCGTTTTTATCCATTTCTCAGTTGATGGGCATTTGAGTTTTTAAGATTTAGCTCTCACAAATTGTGCTGCTATAAAAATAGGAACACATGTATTGCTGTTATGTAATGTTTTTGGAAAATACACAGAAAGGGAATCGCTGGGTTGAATTGGACCTCTAATCCTAGGTTTTTGAGGAATCCACACAGATTTCCACAGTGCTTGCCCCAATCTACCCTCTCACCAACAGTGCAGAAGGGTTCCTTTCTTCTCACAGCCCTGCCAGCATTTGTTATTGGTAGCCTTCTTCATGTTAGCCAATCTTTCTGGGTGAGATGGAATTTCAGTGTTGTTTTAATTTTCATCTCTGAAAACTGTTACACAGATTTAATGCAGTCCTAATCAAAATACCATTAATATACCTCACAGAACTGGAGAAAACATACCAAAACTCATGTGAAAACTGAAGAAACCTGGAGTAGCCAAAGCAGTCGTGGGCAACGAAAGCAAGTCAGAGGACATCACAGTCCCTGACCTAAAATTGTACTACAAAACTACTGTGATGAAATCAGCGTGGTACTGGAAAAAGGAAAAAAAAAAAAAGAAACAGATCTGCAGATCAGTGAAACAGAGTACAAAATGCAAACACAACTCCAAATACATTCAGCTCATATACTCACTTGAAGAAAGATAGGGTCTTTAATAGATAGTTCTGGAAAATCTAGCTTCCCACAAGCCATTAAATAAAACTAGACCCATTTCTATCACCATTCAATAGGAAAAATTCAAAATGGATGAAAGATCTAAATATTAAAACAGAAACACTAAATCTGCTGGAAGAGAAATTCGATAGAAATCTGGAAGACATATGTATAGGAAGAGACTGCATGAACAGAACACATACCACATGGGAAATACTGCCAAGAATCAAATGGAATCTTTCCCTATAAAAACAAATTTAAAAATAAAATAAAATAAAATTAGAACTAGTTGTCCCTCACAGGACTTATATCTAAAACATACAAGAATTGAAAAAAAAATTAGGCACCCAAAATTTAAAAACTCAAACCCAAAATGGGCTTTTGAAATGAGTACAGACTTCCCAGATAAAGAAATACAAATGGCAAGTAAATAAGTAACAGCTTCAGCCTAAAAGGTTGTTTTGAAACTTATGTCTGAAAACTCATGGGAGTATGCTTTTCAAACTCTAATACACTCTTCTAATATCATACCCACAGATTATTACTTCATCTCTCTTCCCTCATTATTGACAGTGATGGCAATTTATATCTCAATATTACCTTCCTTTTTAAGTGTCTTGTTAATGACATTCGGTTGCTTAATCTTGGGTGTGCAATCATTTGCATTCCGAATTCAAGTCCTCATTAGTTCTGTCACAGTTTCATCTCATGGACCTTGGCCAAATGAGCAGTGCAGGCAGAAGGAAACTGGAATTTGCAGCACTTATTACGATGATCCATGTGTGGGCCATGTGATTCGTTGGAAAAGGATGCTGTTCTCACAGTTTTGCAGTTTGAAATGAACATAAGCCTTGAACTTCTTCATTGGTTTACAAAAAGGAGCCTCGGCACTCACCTTCAGCATATAGTCACTGAGCTGGCCCGATGTACAAAGCACTGTGTGACTGCAGGCAGCTCCCGAAAGCTAAAGGATGCTGTCACTGCGCCTGACATTCTCCGCAGAGGAGCTTGTGGTGAATTGCAGAGCCATGCTTGTCAACTCTAGATAATTTATTGTTGTGGAGTTTATTGGATTAGATGTTATTATCATCCTGTGTGTTTTTTCTGTTGGGAATTAAACCCAGTGTCTTCACATGGCCTGCATCCCCAGCCCATACTTTATACTTTGAGACAGGGTCTCTGATTTGCAGTGCTCCTGTGTAGGCCTTCCTGTATGCCAGAATTTCAGCGATGCTCCACCACTCCTAGCTTTATGACCCCAGTTTTTAAAAGACCTCTAGCACCTAGCTGTAGCACAGTGACAATAGATTTTTAAAACCAATCGCTGCTGTGTGGTTTATGTGATCCAGCAGCAGCTCATGGACAATGTATTGGCCGTTGTTAGAGCTCATAAAGTTTGGTTGGCTAAAAGTGCCAACAAAATAGATTGGGTGAGTAGAGTAGTCTGAGGTCTGGTCTGTCTTTCTAAATGTTGTGAAAGCGGTCATGATGTCCAGTGCAGTATAAGGTCTGCAGATGCACTCTGCTAAGTGGCCCTGGGTTCCTCCTGAGGCCGTCACACAGTTCAGTTGATGATGCCAGGCTCTGTGGCTCTGCCAGACCAGCTGATAGCCTTCCATAACGGTTTGCACTAAAAGACCTCAGCACCTGCATACCGTTCTGCCCAACCAATGCAGAGCGTGAGTCCCCGGGACACTGCTCTTAGTGCTGTCCCCCCAAGCCAGAACCTGGAGTTCTTCAGATCAGACCTAGTGACATCATGAAAGTATCTTATTATTTTAATAAGCTTGTACGAATATTACAGTTCTATATAAGAAGTGACACAAGAAAAGATCAACATGTTTCCTAATATTAAGGGTTTTCGAATGTGAAAATAAGATAATTATCTGTAGTTCCTAATATTGAAATTCTAAAAATGAATAAATTCTTTAATTTAGTGACTTCAAAATGGTATCAAGTATTTGCATGAAGTGGAACAGTCCTAATTACGGGGTCCTTATTATCTGGATTTAATATATCCAGTGAGTGTTTTACTTGTCATTTGCAAAGATGAAATTTTACTATGTTAATATCATCTTCACTAATACCATCTGATTAAAATTATTACTTATCCACATATTTCCATCCTCTTTATAAAAAAAGTTTCAAGGTTTTACAGCCATTAATTCAATGGCAGTACTATGCCTATCGCCTCTTACTGTTTTAATATAGAATACAAAGAAAAGCACATTTATGGCAATGAAAATCCAATTAACAATGTCTCCTAACTTTTAAAAATATTATAATCTTCCTTTCAGCCCTGACCTGAGCACAATATTTAATTACTGACAACATGTTAGACTACATAAAGAAGTAAACTTTGAATTGTGTTTGGTGGCAACAGCTGGTCAAGTTGACTTTTATGTACTGTCATTTAATAGTGACGATATCTCCTTTTACATATTTTCAGGAATTTTGATGGTATATTCTAGTAGATGTTATAACTGCATTATCATATTAATTATCCAAACTTATATTGATATTAACTTAAATATACTGTGCAAAATGTTAAATATTACTCTATTTGTTGTCAATCTATGTTGACAAAAATGTGGATATTATGTATGACATGTTAAGATAATTCAGAAAATTAGGTGTGGATTTATTATATCAGAATCCTACTTATTTTACATTTTCAAAGCTGAAATTAAATTTGATGAAATTTTATTAAATTGGTAAGGATTCAAATATATGTTGTATATAACTAAATATTTCATGTACATATATGTTTTAGATATTAACTCCATTAATTAAATCCATTTTTAATTTTAAGAACTGACCGTGTTTAATATCAGAGGACATATTATTTGAGCCTTTTGGCTTTAATCTTCATATTTTAAGTTTTTAATTATGAAATTATGTTAGTTTTCTAAGTCACAAATTCATAGAATAATAAAAGGAAGATAAGATGCAAGTGCAGGACCTTTAAGTGGAGAGTTGCGCGTTTCAAAATCAGAAATTACAAAGAAAAATTTTGTAATCCCGCCTAGCTGAATATATTGCCTTGTGTAATAAAGTCACCATTATAACTCTGCTCATAAAAATAATGTATCTGCCTATTTTCTATAAAGGTACTTAGTATTTTAATATGTTGGCAGATTTGTATATAGTCACTTTTGTCAAAATGCAACTCCTGTGGCTATAGAATTAAATTAAAAAGCTTGATAGTGAAAAATGTTGTGAGTGGAAAAATGATTTCGCTTCAAAATTCAGATGCACACAAATAAAAAGTATTGCATCAGCAAATGTTCATAAGGCTGTGGCATACGATTGATGAGGGGCCGTTGTCTCTGCAGATGTAATAGGAGACGACCCTTCCAATGTGTTACCTGTGTAACTGAGATTGACCCTCTGAGAGCAGCGTTGACAGGAGCAGCTAACGGGTGACCAGTGCCAGAAGTAGAGTCATGATATGGAAGGGCCACAGCGGTTCTTGGGCCTCTTTGAAGGCAGAGGAAGCAGAGGATGCTGTGCGGAGCTGCCATCGTTTCCTTACTGTAGTGATGAACACCAGATCTAGGGATGGGGTGAGGCCCACAAGGTGCAAACTGGGTCTAGTCAAAAGATTTTAGAAACAGTTTACGTCACATTTTGCCTGTGGTATTTCTAATCTGTTTGCATTTTTTCCTGACTTGTCCCCAGAATGTTCAGGCCCATTGGGAATTGAAGGGGGAATCATATCAAATCAGCAAATCACAGCATCCTCTACCCACCGAGCCCTATTTGGTCTCCAGAAGTGGTACCCCTACTACGCGCGTCTCAACAAGAAGGGGCTTATCAATGCCTGGACAGCCGCAGAGAATGACAGATGGCCGTGGATTCAGGTATGTGTGGGACCCCAAAGCCAAAGAAGAAGTCACTGTGGCTCTTGCCCATGGTCCCAGAATGGATAATTTAATAAAGGGTTCAATTTGGCTGTAAACCAAAAATGTGAAGAACAAACGAAATCTTTTGGCAAGTGTTTCGGATGCATTAAAATGATAAAATTCTTGAGCTGTGTAAACACTTTCAGGATATATCAAAGAAAGTCTGTCTCATACACATCGTCTTAATTTCCAACATGTTAATTCAGACCGCAACTTAATATACTACAAGAAAAAAGTTTACAGCTATCCCTCCTCTGTCTTTGAGATGTGGCTTTGTGTGTCGAAAACTCTAGATGTAGAATGGATATAACACTGCCTGAAATGTTACCAGCATGTTCTTTCAGTGAGGTGTTTTGATTCATAGTGTCATGTTCAATATTCCCATCAGCCAGCTAGTTTTTAATAAACAATACAACAACCTGAGATTGGAAATAGTTCCCAGTGATTACACACAGAGTGGTAATGTGAAAATCAGGTAGTCTGTTAGATGAAGTGCAGCCGGAAACTAGAAGCTGGGGAACAGAAAGATGTCCCAAGTGGTTTCTGGGCAGGAGTGTACCTCTGCTGGGGCTCTGGCATCTGAATAGGTACATGGATGTATCCTCAAAGAAAGGCACGTGTATGCGCTCCCCTAAGGAGGAAGAAGAAATTATCCTGAGAGTGTTGCCTGCGGAAGCTAGCTTCCGAGGGTGGCCTTGAAGACAGCTTGCAATGGACAATAAACGCCAGTGGAACAGCATGACCAAAGGTGGGACGGCTGAATATGGCAAGAATCCTGTAGCAAGTCATGACGAGGAAACACTGCCAAAGGGATGCACTAGTTTGCTGTGCCACAGGGTCCCAGCAAAAGGTTCTGGCCTTTTTCCAGGGAGTTGGGAGCTGCTACCCAGAACTTCGCTTAGCTTGGGTGACTAGTCTGTTCCCTCTACCTACTGTGAGTCAAAGAAACGTGGAAATCTGATGTATTATTATTATGTGGAATAATACATTTATTATTAAATGCAATGTATAAACGTTGCTTTACTGGCATTGAAAAGAAAGGAAAATGGATTTGTAGCCAAGTAACAAGACTTTCATATGTTGGCAACAGGGCTGAAATCTTTAAATGCTTCCTCTGTTGAGGAAATCTTACGTATCTCACACAGATTTATTTTATCTAAGTAGCAGTGTGTGGAGGACCAACATTCTTGGTTTGTTTTATGAATTTATGTTTGAATGCCTTTATGGAAATTGCCTCAAAGTATACAACTTCTTTATTTGTAGCCATATGTGCAAAAAGAATTTCAAAATGTAGAATGACACATCCATACAGTATTGATTAGAGATAAATGAAGACTCAATTAATTTTAAAGTAGATACAAAATAAAAGAAACTGTGTATATTATTCATTCTAGAGATGTTTCTAGCCATTGTAGTTGGCTACTGTATTCTGAAATGCAATTGTGAAATTGCAGTCCTGGGAAAACTTTAAAAAGCTAATATTTAATGTTTTGATATTTTACTTTGTTTGCCTAAGTTTATTGCCTACTTTATACAATGTGTCATTTTTCCTTTTAAAGTACGGACTTAAAATTCTCCTTTCCCAGTCGTAATGGGAAGAAATAAATTCATGGAGTAGGAGAGCAGTCATCTGCAAGAAACTGAGATTAAGTACAGCTCTGTGTGTCTCTAAGCAGAACCACCGAAAGCTACTTCTGCGGCCACTGGGCTGGCGGCCACAGGGCTGGCGACCACGGCGGTCATGACGGCCATGGAGATTTGCCTTTTTCTGAAAGGGATAATGAACTGCTGTAGAAAAACAACAGAAGTCAATCTAAAAGCTTTATATTAGAAGAATGAGTGAAAACACTAAGATTCATCACTGTCACTCAACACTCAGTGCTTATGTTCAAGATATGCAGATACATTATTATTTAGTAGTATCTTCTATTTAGGCAGACCCGGGATTGTGGTTCAATCCCGGTGTGGTGTGCCGTGCCGGCCCCGCCTCCAGGGCGTGCTGAGACAGTGACTGACACTGGGCGTGGTGACACGCACTTGTAATCCCAGAACTTGGGAGACTGAAAACAGGAGGATCACTGAGTCCGATCTGGGTAGTAACACCCTGTAGACCCTGTACTAAATACATTAAAAAAATAAATAAAAATGCTATTTTATTTTTCTATGCTATTTCCAGAAAGGGAAATTTAAAAGCTTTTTTACAGAAAAGTCATATTTAAGAAACTTGGAGAAGACTAATCCCACACGAATCCCCTCCCTGCAGCGCTTGCCCTCCTTCCGATCTGTGAGGGGCCAGTTCCCCTGCCGCCTGTTAGCTGTCTTTTATTTTGCTCTGTTTATAATTTGGGTTTCTCATATGAAAGAACCCAAGCGTAATCTTTTATTTATACTCAGTCCTTTAAATAAAGCATTCGAGCACTTTGCTTAAACCACATATAATGAGCATAGTATTCCCCTAATCTTTCAGGTGTATAACACACACGCACTAATTAGTATTCAATTTAATTTTCTTCCTTGTCTTGATGAAATGAAAATTGAAAATGCCATTTTAAATTTATTTGCTCAGCAGGCAATTATTGATAGTAGCTCTGTGCTTGTAATTGGTTCTGGCTTTAGAGGGTCAGTACAGAAAATGCAGTTAAACGAGAACTCTTTTTTTTTTTTTTTTTTTTTTCCTTTTCAAGACATTTCTGCCCCTTATTTCTTTACTTAGTTTGTTTTTTATTAACTATTAAATAACACCATGTTAAGCATTTCCTTGGCACCTTAGAAAATAGATTTCTAGTGCTTGCGGCGTTATGCGTTACAAGCAGCAATGTCATCACTATAGAAGGATGTCTTCCATTATCGCGTGCAAAGATAAAAAAATAAAATTTAAAAAAAGCTTATTTAAAATGTCCAGACGCGTTTCTCACTGGGCGATGTTCAGGTCTGTTTCCCTGTTGCCCCGTCCCGAGGTGTGATTAGGCTCAGGGGCTGAGCGTGCAGTCCGTGGCCAGCCCCGGCGGAAAGCGCGCCCTCCAGCCGCGTGAGCCCGGTCACTCGCCGCCTGCTGTCCACCTCGGCGCGCAGCTTGGACGTCGGGGAGGCCCCCTCGGGAGTCCAGCGTCCAGGCGCCCAGCGCCACCCGGGAGTCCCTCGGTCCCCTCACGCTGATAACCAAGATGAATGGGCCCAGAGGGATCTGCCGAGACGACTGTCTCTCGCTTACTCATAAGAATGCTTATTTTTATTTTCTATCTCAGTGTATATTTTCTTCAGTAATAGCATATGGTAAACCTTGCATTCTTTTATAATTTCTAAAATAATGTGTATTACAATTGTCATCTGAGGGCTCCCTGGAGGCCCTACCTATTAGGAAGGTGGCTGGGTCAGGAGGGTCTCCCGACTGGTGGACTGGTGACTGCGCCCTGATGTGCTGCCCGACGGGGTCTTGCTGGGGGTGGCCTGGCGCGGGCGGCCTGAAGGCGCGACTCCGCCGCTGGCTCCTGCCGTCCGCCTCTTCCCGGGTGGCAAGCGGTGAGCTGCTGTCCTGCAGCCCGGCCCGGCCTTCCTCGGCGACGGAGCCTCTGAAACGGTGGCCGAGCGAAGCTCTTCTTCAAGTGAGCAGCCTCCGATCTTACATCCAGCCGCGTGGTGCTCTGCAAACACTTGCTCATCGGCTTGAGGAATTAAGATCAGTGCATCCTGGGTGACAGGGACAAAATGAGGCAAAACACTCTCGCCTGGTGACTTGGGCACCCTGCTGCTGGACTCCAGGTAGGGATGATTGCGTGGGGTGGAGAGAGGTGAAGGAAACCTGAAAGAAAACTCTAAAAGCGACGGGGGACATGGTATGTCCGCGAACTCGGGGAGACACGTCTGAGATGTGGGTCTTAATGAGAAGCGCGTCCGGCTTTAGCAGCAGTTCTTAGTACCGCGCATGAAGTATGGAGCATCGTATTCCTCAGTGACGCTCAGATTCTTCTTTTTTATATTTCAGATATATAAAAGCAAAATTACCTGACTTACTCATTTATGGAATGCAACTGTAAATACAGAATAACTTACTAGAGCCATAAGAAAAATAATGCAAGCAGAAATTATGTCACTGATTTCTCTAGTACAAGTTTCACATGAATGTTTAAAAAACAGTTTAACTGTGAGGTTGAAGATACACAAAAAATATATTTTAGGCTGTAACTTTAACACAACTTTTAGCACTTTTAAACTCTCAGAAGATAAATACACTTAACCACTGCTATGTTAAATATTTTTCATTACACTTACTATGCATTTTTGTATAGTAAGTATAAAAAACTTGCCAAATCACATTTTGTATTTCGGAGGACTAAGTGTGTGTGCATTTTGGGAACGTTAGTATAAAATCATGTCTAAGTTGTCTTTTGCACTGACAATGATATTTTCAATTTCCTTATGTCCGTTAGTTTCTATTGTTTAACAAATAATGCCAGAGTGATTTTTTTAGGTTGTGGCACTGGTGGAATAAAATAGAGAAAATCTAAATAATTAATACAAGGGCCAGCCAGATAGCTCAGCAGATTAAAGCGCCTGTTTAGGTAGGTGCAGGGATCAGGGTTTAATCCCCAGCATGCCATGCAGGCCTGCCTCCAGGGTGCACTGAGATAGCGGCTCAGACTAGACCTGGTGGAGCGTACCTGTAATCCCAGTGCTCGGAAGGCTGAAAACAGGAGGATCACTATGAGTCTGATCTGTGTACTGAGACCCTGTGCACTGGTACTAAATAATAATAATAATAATTATTATTATTATTATTATTATTATTATTATTATTATTATTATTATTAATGGAAATTGTAAGTTTCTTTTGCAATGGGAAAAGCGCCCCGGGTGAGGACCCCTGGCTTTGCACTCCACCTTCAGTGTGTTCATGGCACGTGTGTGCCCGTGCTCTCTTAAAGGCTGTCCACATGGCCAGCTAGGCAGCTGGGGAGTGT